GAACCTGGAAGGCGGAGGTTGCAGTGAGCCAAGATGGTGTCACTGCATTCCAGCCTGGGCGACAGAGCAGGACTCCATCTCAAAAAAAGAAAAAGGAAAAATTCCTGAAATAAACAACCGTTAAGTTTTACATTGTGTGCCATTCCAATCTGGCGCTGTCCTGTTCTGTCCCAGTTGGGACCTGAATCCTTCCTTCGTCCCGTGTATCCATGCCGTAGACCAAGCTGGTCCAATCCACAGCCCACGGGCTGCCTGTGGCCCAGGACAGCTATGACTGTGGCCCAACACAAATCTGTAAACTTTCTCAACACATTGTGAGATTTTTTTGTGATTTTGTTTTAGCTCATCAACTGTCATGTTATAGAGTATTTTAAGACCATTCTTCTTCCAGTGTGGCCCAGGGAAGCCAAAACACTGGACATCCCTGTAGACGCTTCCCACCCATGAGTCACTTAGCAGCTGTCTCGGTTATCAGATGAACTGCTTGTGCTCCAGTAACATGTTACTTTACTACAGTATATGGTCCTAATCTATTGTATTATTAGTCATTCATCTCTTACTGTGTCTCATTCATAAGTTAAACTTTATCATAAGTATGTATTTTAGGAAAAAAGGGTATATACAAGGTTCAGTTCTATCTGAGGTTTCAGGCATCCCCTGAGGGATCTTGGAATGCATCCCCTGAGGATGAAGGGGAACTACCGTAGGACTAGCGTTGGTATCTGTACCACTGGACTGGTTCATACAAGTTCACACGCTATGAAAATCAAGTCCATTGTAGATACCAAAGCCCCAGACAAACCGGAGACAGCCCACAAAGCTGCCTGCTCGAGTCAGGCGTCTGCTCCCTCCTGTGCTACAGCCCTGCACCCACCCAGATTGGCATTGTCCTCATTGTCCCATTCCAGCTCATAAAGGCTCTGCTTTGTCCTCGCCATCACTTCCTCTTTTCAACACAAGGACATGTTTGCTAGTACGACTGTGAACAAACCACCCTTCCTCCTGCCAGGGCTCAAGCGACAGGCCACATACTGCCAACCTCCTACTACAGAGAAGACTTGAGATTTGTTTAAAAGTTGATTACAGGGGGAGAGAGGGATGCATAGATGGAGCACAGAGGATTTTTAGGGAAGGGAAACTATTTTATGTGATAGTGTAATAGGGGATACATGTAGTCACACATTTGTCCAAACCCACAGAATGACAATACCACGAACCCTAAACTACGAACTCTGGATGATAGTGATGTGTGTCAAAGCGGGTTTATCAATTCTAACAACTGCACCACTCTGGTGGGAGACGTCGCTCATGTGGAGGGAAGCGATGCCTATCTGGCGCAGGAGTTATGAGAGAAATCTCTGTACCTTCTGCTCAATTTTGCTATGAACCTGAAAGTGCACTAAAAACAAAAATCTATTAAAAAATTGGTCACACACACACATTTGCTACTAAGATGGCCTCCAACAAACGTGAAAATTTAAGAAAGCTACCTCTTTATTTAACACCAAAGCTAACATCAAGTGTTTATTTAAAAAAATAATGGCACCGGCTTTGAATTCATTGATGACACCACAGTGGGGTGAAGATCTACAGGGAATTTATAATTTTAGGCTGACATGAAAACTATGTAGTAACTCACAAAATGGAAATTCCGCAACAAATCTCACAATAAACATTTCCAGTTTCTACTTTCAGAGTTGAACTACTGCCTAAACATATCTTAAACACAGAGCACGTTTTGTTGAAACATTTCTCTTAGGACAAACACAGCAGACATGCTTTAAATAAATTAAAATTGCAACACATAAATCACTCCTAAAACAATCAAGGTACATTACTTTCTAGCTTTTTATAAAGATAATTGTACTGATTTCAGAAAATTATAGGTTAGTTGTTTCATATTTTTTAACATCCACTTTTGATGTGAATAAGCCAATGTCATTCTTTGCAGTGATTTATCCTTTTAAACCAACTCATCCCTTTGTGTATGCGATAACCTTAAAACACTTCTCCATATAAACCCTGAATTTTAAGTGATGCCATTTCTTCCACTCATTTCTCCCCAGCACACTCCTCAGAATTACAGAAACATGCAAAGTAAGTTGTTTAATCACATGTTCCTATGAATAAATATATTTAAATGTTTTTCCAAACCAATACAACTATATCTGGATTCACTGCAAAAATGTTCCCATTCAATGCAAAATAATTTTGTACAATCCGACCAAAAAAGACAAAAGTAATTAGTCGCCTGAGGGAAGCTAGTTCCTCATTATTACTGAACCCATAATTAAACCTGATATGCTAGAGAAATGGCAAGGCTATAAACACACAGAGTGGGGCAATATTTAAATGAAAACAAGAGTGACAGAGCTGGAAAGAGCAAAAACCACATGAATGCTAATTGACAGAGAAGGATAACAGCCTCACCGGATAAAATGAGACAAAGTTTCAGAAGATCTCCATCTGTGAACAGGACATCAGGATCAAGTAGGCAAAAATGCTACCATTCCAAGCTGGAAACTTGGGAGTAATCCCACGTTCATTGTCCAAACCCAGCAATGGAGTGTTTTCTTGCTGTTTCACTATGGATTTTTTTGGCTGGGGGCAGCGGGGGGTGTTGCTCTGGTTTAATCATACTCAAAGTTTGAGCTTGAAATAACCAAGTCAAAACCCACAGGAGAGTTTGTCACCACATAAACCCAGTGCTAGAATCAAGTGTCCAGCACCTTCAACCACTCAGGAATGGTTGCTGAGTGACAGGTGCTGACCCGTCCAACAAGCACTTTTCATCTTTGCATTCACCCAAGATGTTTACTATAAATGAAAGGTGTGGAGAAAGGATTATAGTTGACACAAATATAAATCAAATATCCGATTCCACCATATGTTACAGCTATGTCACTATTTTTAATTGTAATATTTCTAAAATGTCATTTAATCTCCTTACGCACTGAGGAGAACGAGCAGTGGGAGTGTTTATTCCTTAAGAAGTGAATAAACTAGAGAGATTAAAAGTTTCCTTGAGTGTATCATCTTACTAAAAAGTACAAAGTTTCATGAACTTTCAACAAGACGGTGAAATAAATATGCCAGGCAGGTTGAGCCTATCCAAGTGAAAACAAGGCAATTTGACATTTAGTGAGAGTCAATGAAAATATGAATTATTTAAAAGGAATTCATGATCCAAGTAGGAGGATTATAGACTCTACAGTATTTTAGAATAAAGCTAGTTTCTAGCAGGGTCTATAAAACAGCTCCGGACTACAGGGGATGAAGTATGCTGTTTTCCATTCTCTTCTCTACTTCTGTCACTGGGGAGAAGATATACAGGTCGCAGGTCTGAGAAGCGTGCATTGAAGCACACTTGCCAGGCTGAGCCCTGGAATGGTGCAGGCTGGTGCGACAATGAGACCTATGTCTTCTTGGAGCCTCCCAAAGCCCTTCACTTCAAGGGCTAGAAATCTCTCAATCTCTAAACTAACAGCAGCATTCAATCCCTGGTGTGTCCAAAGTGACGCTTGGAAAGATTCACAGATACCAAGAGGGGCCCACCCAGTCCCCAGCTTGACTTAGGAGTGTAAGTTACTCAGCTCTCAGCCCACACTGAGTCTGACGCCCACAGGTCAAGGGTAATGCTGGCCATTGAAATAGAAAAACTAAAGGAAACACAGCATTCTCTCCGCCTCCCTGCCTTCCACCTGGCCTACTTATCTGTCCCCTGGATTTGAAAGATCAGTGTATACACACCAACATGGAGACTGGGGGGGTCTGACAATGAAAGGAGACATAGCCATGAGATAGGAGTGGGACTGGTAACTCCCTCTTCCCTAAATCCATAATACTTTATCACCAAAGAGTCCATGAAATGCCATTTATTTATTTATTTATTTTTTTTTTTTTTGAGACGGAGTTTCGCTCTTGTTACCCAGGCTGGAGTGCAATGGCGCGATCTCGGCTCACCGCAACCTCCGCCTCCTGGGTTCAAGCAATTCTCCAGCCTCAGCCTCCTGAGTAGCTGGGATTACAGGCACGTGCCACCATGCCCAGCTAATTTTTTGCACTTTTAGTAGAGACGGGGTTTCACCATGTTGACCAGGATGGTCTCGATCTCTCGACCTCGTGATCCACCCGCCTCGGCCTCCCAAGCCATTTATTATTTTTAAAAGCTTGGGTCTGGAATTAGACAGTGGTGATGGCTGAACAAGTTGGCGAATTTACTAAAACCACTGAACTGTACACTTGGAAAAAAAAGAAAGCTTCAGCTGCATGAGTCCCACTCATATACACTTTGACTTATACTAAATGCTCAACTATTCCATTCTCTCAGACTATGGTACATGCTGTCACATTTTTTTCCTTCAGGAGATTTCCCTAAGAAGAGCTCTTTGCAAAATATTGCACTTAATTTGAATCCAGGAGACTTTATGTCTTCTGAAAGAAAATGTACTCTCATGCCTTCCTGCCTGCAGCAGACGGTGGGAGCAGTGGGCCAGGGGGCTCAGCAGCAGTTTCCGTGAACATTGCTTACATCTTCCTCTTTGTTATATACACACAGACACAGATTTAAAGGAAAGTATCATCTGGGCTGAATGGTATGCCCCAAACAGGGATGTTAACATTTGAATGCTTTCAGCTCAGAGGCAGTGTGGGCATCCTAAGACCTACAAACTTAGGTTCAGTGAGATGTTAAGAGACAGGTGGCGGGCAGGCGAGGTGACTCACACCTGTAATCCCAGCACTTTGAGAGGCCAAAGTGGGTGGATCATGAGGTCAGGAGATGGACACCATATTGGCCAACATGGTGAAACTCTGTCTCTACTAAAAATACAAAAAATTAGCTGGGTATGGTGGCATGTGCATGTAGTCTCAGCTACTCTGGAGGCTGAAGCAGGAGAATCACTTGAAACCATGAGGCGGAGGCTGCAGTGAGCTGAGATCACACCACTGCACTCCAGCCTAGGCGACAGAGCAAGACTCCATCTTAAAAAAAAAAAAAAAAGAAAAAGAAAAAGAAAACAGAGACAGGTGGTAACTTTGGCTCAAACACTGGACTGATTTCATTCTTGCTTGCCTTTCACTTCCTGAAGAGGATTCTCTCAATCTTCATCCAGGTCAATTGCTCCCACTGATCTAGCCGCCATTCCGTCACACCCAATGTCCCCTTGTCCTCATGGGTTCAGTGTTCCTACACCTCAGTGCACTTTATAGGCTATGATTCTGTTGTCCTTCAAGGAAAGAACTGCAACATGACCATCATTTGTTTTCATTTCCTGAGTAAGCTTTGCAGTCCCTCACAGACCTGTGAATAAAATCAATCACGTGAAGCGCATCACATCTTCCAGGCGGGCTTATCACAATCGACATTTGCCAAAACAGCCAGGCAGGGTGGCTTGTGCCTGCAGTCCTGGCTACCTGGGAGGCTGAGGTGGGCAAATTCCTTGAGGCAAGGAGTTTGCGACCAGCCTGGGCCGTAACAGCAGAACCCTGTCTCAAAAAATAAAAATAAAAAAAAGATGTGCCAAAACACAAACCTTCAGAGTGGTGCTCACAGGATTCCAAATTAATGTTAAAGTCACAGTCTGATGAGGGATCTGAAAACCTTGCTGCACACTCTGAAGGCTGGGCGTTTGCTAGCCAGTTCAGATAAAATCAGGTGTCGGTTGCCTGGGTCTGAGAAGGAAAAAGCCCCATTCATAAATCCCTATGCCTTACCATTTAAAGTGTTTAACAATACCCCTCAGGTAGACTTGTTGGATAAACAGGTGTGTAGTAAGATCTCCATGTTACAGGGTCACACACGATTGACCGCTGCGGACACTGAGTACATGACGGGACCTATGGTCACCTGGAGACAAGCGGGGCGGATCACACAGGGACCTGTGTTTCCATAGGCCACAGTGTTTTCATACTGCCCAAGCCTGCGGTTCTTCATTCCCTGAATGATGCATATCCTTGCTTTTTATAGGACTCACAGAAAACACAACCATTAGCAATCGTGAAGCTCAATTCGGACAAAGACTTAAGAGAGAGATCTCTTTCCTTCTGGATCACCCAATTATTCCAAGGTCTCAATATACAGAGGTTTACCACGCTGGGCTAGTCAGGTGGGCAGGAAATTGGTCTGATTAAGGCAGTGAGCAAGGCAGGAGAGCTCTCAAACAGATTCGTGTTAACCAAGTACAAGGACTGAGTTGGCAACTGCTCCCGAGTTAAGAGAACTGTAGTTATTTACATACACCACACAGCCCTAGTTTTTCTTGCACACGACTCAGCACAATCATTCATCGAAAAATTTGGTAGTATGCACAGAATTTTCTTTAAAATAAAAACTTGAAAGGACTTGAAGGCAAGAACCACTGGCTTCATCTTGGTATTATTATCCTCTCTATGGCACACAGGATATGGTCCCAGTTTTTACAAAATATAGCAAGAAGAGTCACGGCAAAGAAGGTGCCGAGAATGTGGCAGCGGCTCTTCATCATGGGTGAGACGAACTTCGCGATGGTAGACACACACACTAAGATGACGGTCATGAAGGCCAGGACCACGTTGATGCACTTCCCCAAGAGAACTTTAGCATTCACGGTGTCCGTCTGCAGAGCTTGCTGCTCCTGCTGGTGGAGTTCCAGCTTAGAAATGCGAGTCTGGCAGGATTCCAGGGCTTCCTGTGGGCAAGAGGGAGAGCAAGGGTCAAATGTTGTTGTGATCGTGAGCAACATGTGAGCGCTTGCTCAGCTGTACACAGAAGCCCCAGCTCAGAAAGCCCAATGCCGGGCAGCTGCGAATCCCCAGCTGATGATGATGGTGATAGACCAAGATGTGGAACAAGAATCTCCAGGCTCATTTTCTCCTGTTGTTCACAAATAGAAGAGCATGTGGATACGACCACAAAATATCACAAATGAGGAAGTATGGCTAAGTTTTTTTGACTTTACCTTCTTTTTTTTTGAGACTGAGTCTCGTTCTGTCACCAAGCTGGAGTGCAGTGGTGCGATCTCAGTTCACTGCAACCGCCGACTCTTGTGTTCAAGTGATTCTCCTCCCTCAGCCTCCTGAGTAGCTGGGACTATAGGTGGGACTACAATCTCCTGAGCAGCCGGCACTACCACACCCGGCTAATTTCTGTAGTTTTAGTAGAGATGAAGGTTTCACCATGTTGGCCAGGCTAGTCTCAAACTCCTAAACCTCCTGGTCTATCTGCCTCGGCCTCCCATAATGCTGGGATTATAGGCATGAGCCACTGCACCTGGTCAACTTTACCTTTTTTTTTTTTGAAACAGAATCTCACTCTGTCGTCCAGCCTGGAGTGCAGTGGTACAATCTGAGCTCGCTGCAACCTTTAACTCCTGGGTTCAAGCAATTTTCCTGCCTCAGCCTCCTGAGTAGCTGAAATTACAGTTGTTCATCACCACTCCTGGCTACTTTTTGTATTTTTAGTGGAGACAGGGTTTTACCATGTTGGCCAGGCTGGTCTTGAACTTAAGATCTCCAGTGGTCTGCCCACCTCAGCCTCCCACAGTGCTGGGATTATAGGTGTGAGCTGCCATGCCTGGCCTGACTTTACGTATTTTTGAAATAAAGTGATATAAAATATCGGTGCCTGTTGGTGCCATCAGGGACAAAGCAGAGAAGGAGGGAGGTTCCACTTTGTGACTACTCCACCTTCAGCCAAGGAGTGTGTGGGATCTCCAATGGCCAGTCCTCATTTCCACTGCTCAAAGACTTTGTCCATCACTTAGATTGGTGAAGGCAGGCGAGAAGGGAGCGGAAGGGACTGGGGCTGCGTGTGGGGCAACTGTGCTTTCGCCTGCTCTCTGAACACGGTGTTACTCTGCCGAGGCTATCTCCCTGGACCTCGTCCACTCCAAGTCTTCAATCACTCAGACACAGATGGCTACAAGTGTATCTCTAGGCCAGCCCTCTCTTCTGAAATGCGCTCATAGATCCTGTGCCTGGGACATCTCCATCAGAGCTTCTTGAAAGCACCTCCAATGCAACACGTGCAAACGTGGCTTCATGTATCACAGCTACCCAACGCCTGCAGTCAACCCTGCTCCCCTCCAGTGTCGCTCGTCTCAGAGTACAGTACCACGGTTCACACAGTTCCTCACACCAGAAGCCTGACAAGCATACCAGGATACCTTTCTCATCCAACCTGCCTCCCAGCCACGGAGGCAACATCCAGTTTCTAGCTCAGCGGGTCCGGTTCTCTGCCCACCAGGTCAGCATCCCGATCAACGTCACCCGCATCTCTTGCCTGCAATAACCTTACACGAATTTCCCCATACACCCTTTTGTTCCCCACCGTCATGAATCCACTTTCCACACGGCAGCCCAAGTGGTCTTTTAAATGTGCATATTTGATGTCACTCCTTTTCATAAAACCTTTCCAATCTTTACCATGGCCTTCTGAGGCCTTGTAAAGTCCAGGTCAGCTACCCTCTCCTCCCTCACTGAATGACTTCATGCCAGTCCCCTGCCCTGTCACAGTGCTCTGGCCTTTTCCAAGTTCCTTTTTTCTTTTAAGAGACAGGGTCTCACCCTGTTGCCCAGGCTAGGATGCAATGGCACTGCCATAGCTCACTACAGCCTCAACCTCTGGTCTCCTGCCTCTGCCTCCTGAATGACTGGAATTACAGGTGAGAGCCCCCACACCCAGCTTTATTCTAAGTTCTGAAAAGGAGCACAGACTCACCTCAGGGCTTCTGCACATTCGGTAGACTCTGCCTGAGGCGTGTGCCTCCTCCGCTCCCTCCTCTTCACCTGTGGATCTCCCACTCATTTTTCAGGTCTCACCTTGATTGCCACATCCTTGGGAAAGCCTTTCCTGATCCATGAGATTAGGTCAAGTCTCCCTTCAGCTCTCCTCCCCAACCACGAGACACAGGAGACACACGCTGCTTGAGGACAGGAACTAGCCCATCTTGCATCTGCTGTCCTCTCCAGCACAGAGCCAGCACCAGGCATGCAGCAGGCGAATATGAAAGAGACAGCCGGGTGCCAGTGAGACAATGTGAGGCTGGACAGCATGCCTGTAATCCCAGCACTTTGGGAGGCCAAGGTGGGTGGATCACTTGAGGTCAGGAGTTCTTTACGAAAACCCCATCTTTACTAAAAACAAAATACAAAAATTAGCTGAGCATGGTGGCACATGCCTGTAATCCCAGCTACTTGGGAAGCTGAGGCAGGAGAATCGCTTGAACCCAGGAGGCGGAGGTTGCGGTGAGCCGAGATTGCATCACTGCACTCCAGCCTGGGCGACAGAGCGAGACTGTCTAAAAAAAAACACCCTGACCCTGTTGGGTGAAAAGGACCTCAGTGAGGTAGTACAATGTGCCCCTCTCTGTCCTAACACATTTGCTAATCTGCGTTTGCTCAATTAAAACATAGTCATCTTTTCGGGTTTTAAACAAGCATAATGGCTCCATGATTGATTTGCTTTTCTTCTGCTGAATAACTCTATGGGCCAAAGGACAGGTTCTCTGTTACTATAGTAACTTCTATTCTACTAGCTACCAACGAAAAGGGTAAAACTTCTTCAGATCTTCACGTTCTAGAAAGCGCTCGCTTTCAACAGTCACAGGCATGTACCTGAAATTATGCATTCTTTTCAACTACTTGGGTCCAAGGTTTCCTCCATTTTAGGCACAGCACAGAAAAAGTGATGGAACAGGACAGAAGGCCAATCTTTTAGGCAAATCTGTGAATCTTTGGTTATAAGATGAATTACCTGTACAAACAGACCAATCTTAATTCCGTCTTACACCTGCTACCAGATTTTTTTAACCAAAAGAAAAATCCAAGAAAAGCAAGCATTGAATTGCAAGGAATTTGAGTCCCAGCAGCCAGATGTACTCAGCTCCACGGTACTCGGCACTTCCTTGGGTCCAGTCATTACCTTACTGGGGATAATGACCATAGAACGGTTATCCTGAAACAATTTTCAACTGGAAATTCAGGGTTTAAAAAACATGACTCCGTTGTTTAAAACAACAAAACTCTTGTATCTCTGCAGGCAACAGCCTCCCTCATCCACGGCAGCCCCTTCCCTTTGTGTGACCCTGCCTATAAGAACAAAAGAAACGAGAAATAAAGATGACGTCAAAAGGCCAACTGCCAGAAGGCCTGAGGGACGTGGCTGCTCCCAGATGTGATCAAAAGAATGGCCAGTATTTAGTATTTGACTGTTTACTATGCGCCAGGCAAAGATTTCAATACTTTACATGACTATTCCATTTAATCCCTCCTAACAACCTTTTGAGGCAGAGCTCTTTAACATTTCCATTTCATTGAGAAGGAAACTGAGGTACAGAGCACTAACTCATCCAGGGCCACACAGCAGAGGTGACAGAGCCAGGATTCTAATGACCATGACAGAGAAGCCACTCCACTCATTCACACAGATGTCCTCTTTGTACTTCTGAGTGAGAGGTGAAACCAGAAAATGTCAAAATGAACCTCTCTGGATGTTTAAGTTCCCTTTGGGTGGTCCCCTCTCTTTATCTGTCCTCTTCATCACTAATATGTTTCTTAAAACATAGAAGAACAACCCAAACTATCCCCTAAATAAGAAAACCATGTATTTAGATACCACCCAGTGACATCCAAAACATGTTCTAAAATAGAACGACTTAGTTAAGCAATTGTACTGTTCACTTGGCAACATTTTTATTTACTTGTTTTTGGAGACAGGGTCTTGCTCTGTTGCCCAGACTGGAGTGCAGTGGTGTGATCATAGCTCATTGTAGCCACAAACTCCTCCCTCCTCAGCATCTCAAGCAGCTGAGGTTATAGGCATGCCACCATGCCCAGCTATGATAATTAAAAAAAAAAAAAATTCTAATTATGTTGGCCGGGATGGTCCTGAACTCCTGGCTTCAAGTGCTCCTTCTACCTCAGCCTCCCAAAGTGCTGCAATTACAGGCATGAGCCACTGCAGCCGGCCCACTTGGCAACATTTAACATTTAAATGAGTTCAAGTTTCTTGAATTAGCCAGTGGTGAAGTGAAGTCTCCTAATCTAGAACAGGGCCAGAAACCTCCCAAGCGTCTTCTGTGCTGTGGTCTCTGGGGGAAGAATTTCCCATCAGCTCTGATACGTTGGTTCCCAGAATTGTCCAAGTAGGCATCTGGGATTAGCACAGGCTCAGGCCTCAACAGAGTGGAATAAAATGTGGCCAGCTGAAACTCCAGCTCATACACTACGGGAGAAAGCGCTATCTTTATGTTTAATTTTCTCCTTTGTTAGGTGAGGCTTTGATTCACAGCCTTGTTTAGACCTTGTTTAGGCCACTTCTTAGAGCTGGAGAAAAAGGACTACTGTCCACAAAGAAAATCCATAAAAATGAAGCTGGGCATTGCTCCAAGAGTCTTTTTTTTTGTTTTTTATTTTGAGACAGGGTCTCACTCTGTCACTCTCCAGGCTGGAGAGCATTGGCACAATCACTTTAACCCTCAACTCCTGGTCTCAAGCCATCCTCCTGCCTCAGACTCTTAAGTAGGTGGGACTATAGGTGCACAATGCCACACCCAGCTAATTTTAAAAACTTGTTTTTAGAGACGGGGGTCTCACTATGTTGCCCAGGCTGGTCTCGAACTCCTGGCTTCAGGTGATCCTCCTGCTTCAACCTACCAAAGTGCTGGGATTACAGGTGTGAGCCACCAGCCTTGGGAAACATTTTTTAAGGCAACGAAGAAGCCTGGGGTTGTTTCTCTACATGCCAGGATCACATTAGGAAATACTGGAGCACAACTTAGTTTATATTGATCCCATTACCCTTTCCTTCCATCCACCCAGATCCTACCCATGCCTTCCAGTCCTGCCTTCTCTAGGACATTCAATCACATTCCTTCCATAAGGAGGATTTGCAAGAACTTGTTTAGACCTTGCTTAGGCCACTTAACCTCTCCGTGCCTTGGTCTCCTTTATCTGAGAAGTGGGGATAATAGCAGTAACTACCTTAAAGGGTTACTGAGAAGCAAATGGGAAAAAAGAAACCTATCAAGTGCTTTGCTACCTTTGAGCAGACAGGATGCACTGAACTGCTTTAACTTCTTACAAATATGAACACTATTGTTTTACAGATGAGTGAATGGGCTCAAGTCTTACTCCAGGCCACACAACTGATGTGGCAGCCATGAGACTGAAAGCCAATGTTTTGCCACTAAATGACTGACTACTCCCCCAGTCCGCAGCTTGCTGGGCACCACATGGCTAAACTTCTGTGGCTCACAGAGTCCATGTCGTGTTACTTGGCCCTTGTTCGTGTTGTCTTGAGGGATTTGGCAGTGGTGCTATCCCACGCTCTTCACCTAGACAAGGAGCTTCTTAAAGGCAGAGTTTGTCTCATATTTTTACATTTTACAGTTTTGGTAGTGATGGGCTTGGGGTGGATAATAAATACTTGTTAACTGTTTTAGGCAGAAAGTATATTGTCTCTTAGCCAGGCACGGTGGCTCATGCTTGTAATTTCAGCACTTGGGAGACTGAGGTGGGCAGATCACTTGAGGTCAGGAGTTCGAGACCAGCCTGGCCAATATGGTGAAACCCCATCTCTACTAAAAATATAAAAAAATTAGCCAGGCGTGGTGGTGCCAGTAGTTCCAGCTACGCAGGAGGCTGAGGCAGCAGAATCACTTAAAGCCGGAGGCAGAGGTTGCAATGAGCTGAGATCACCCACTGTACTCCAGCCTGGGCCACAGAGTGAGACTTGCCTCAAAAAAATAGAATATTGGTTTTTTTACTTAGTAATGTCTATAACATGAGCTAGTGGGGTTAACGTGGTACAGAGAAAATGTTTGTGCAGCGAATACATTTTGTCCTATGTGCCAGAAATCCTCTAAGACTCAGGCATAAGCACTTAGTCTGTTAAATGGATTAAGGCCTGGGACGAGTCCAGGCCTGTGTCTAATCACGAAGGGAAAGGTACCTGGATGTCCCGTGAGCGCTCATAGGCCTGGTAGGCCACCTTTTCCTCGATGCTGGCCAGCTCCTGCTTCAGGTTGGCTGTCTCATGCTGATGCAGTTCCGTCAGGTCATGCAACTGGTCCTCCAGTCGCTCATACCTTTAAAAGAGAGAAGCCGATTCCAAGTGTGACATTTCACAGCGCACTGCAGAACAATGTCCTTTTTCTCTTCCTGTGCCAGTATCTTTTGGCTTGCTCTCATCCCCTGATGGGCTTTTTACAAAAGAGTAAGGCTTGCTGTGGAAAATGTGCTTTTGGAGAACACTGACTCCCAGATCTGGAAAGACCCAGTCTCTGGGGTCTCGACTCTCTGTCCTTGCCACTGAAGGTGCACGCGGGTCAGATTAGCACTTTAGCTGATTGCAGTGACCTCAAGATAGAGCTTGTCAGCTGATGCATTTGCCAGGGCCAGGCAGGAGGCAGGGCTCTGTGGCATCCTGCTAAATGAGGGCCAGGACCTCTGGTTTCTGCGGTGCCTTCTCCCTCTTCTGCCCTGACATTGCTGTTGGGGTTCATGGCCAGAAAGCTCACAGGAAAAGCACCATGCTTTTAGCATCACCTTCTACTCTGGAGCTAACTCTACTATCTCCCAGCATGCACACATGCACTGATTACGGATTTCAACTCTTGGAACTTAAGTGACAATACAAAATTAAGGTTATTACAAAATATAGATGGTTCATCATGTGGTGTTTCCAAATGTCCAAATCTAAAGGGACAGAGGTACAAAGATTCTCATTCCTGTGTCCTGTCCCTCTCACTGAAGATGATTCTTCTCATATTTGAAACCTCGGCTGTGCACAGTGGTGACTCACGCCTATAATCCTAACACTTTGGGAGGCCAAGGCGCGTGGATCACCTGAGGTCAGGAGTTAGATCATGTTGGCCCTTGTTCGTGTTGTCTTGAGGGATCTGGCAGTTGTGCCATCCCACGCTCTTCACCTAGACAAGGAGGTATCCCTTATCCGAAATGCTTGGGACCAGAAGTGTTTCAAATTTTGATTTATTTTTCAGATTTTGAATATTTGTGTATATGTAATGAGACACCTCAGGGATACCTAAGTCTAAAGACAAAATTCATTTGCTTCCTATGCCCCATGTACACATAGCCTGAAGGTAACAGTGTGCCATATTTTAAATAATTGTGTGCCTTGAGTTTGTGTTATTTATGTGTAGAATTTTCCACTTGTGGTATCATGTTGACACTCCAAAGGTTTTGGATTTTGGAACATTCTGGATTTCAGATTTTCGAATGAGGGATGCATAAATACATTAGGGATGTATCGATCACTAAATGCCTTTTATTCCATATCTATATTTAGTGAAAATACAAAAAAGCAGACAATCTCTCTGCAGTAACTTATACATCTAAAAGAATGCCATACCTATTATGTACCCACTAAAATTAAAAATTAAAAAAAAATGCCACCAATCAAATACTTTGAAATACCTGTATCTCTCCTCCTGCAGGGTCTGAGAAATAAAACCATATTCTCTCTTAAACTGAACCTTCAGCGCCTCGATGTCCTCGGCCAGCTGAGCTTGGGTATCCTTGATCTCCCTCAGTTCCTCCAGGATCACGGCGAGCTTCCCCTGGCTGTCCAACGTGCTGGCGCCACCAGCCCCAAAGGACTGGTTTCCATTACTGTCAGCCGAGCCTGACGTGCCACTTGAACACTCATCATCGCTGCCATACTTGGGTTTGTTGACGATGGTAGCGCTGCCCCCATAGGCCCTGGAACTTGCCTCCGGCCTAAACTCCTCTAAGGAATTTTTCAAGTGAGCGATGTTGTCGGCGCTGCCAAACTTATTCCGGATCAGGTTGGCAAACTCTCTGGACTTATTGAAAACAAACACAGGTGGAGTGAGTGATACCCCTGGCATGCCCGATTTACTGCTCTCCATGCAATGGGGCGCAGTTCGAGATTTCACGTGGGCATCTTTCAAAGAGCGGTGAATGTCCTTCAGGTGGTCTTTGGAAAGGTCCTTTGAGCTCCTGGGGGCTCCATTCTGCTCGATCTCTCTGAGCTTTCGATGATACTGCTCTAACTTCTTCTGCAGCTGGGCAATGGAATGAGCTGATTTCTGATTCTTCTTCTCAAAGACTTGCTTGATACGTCCCGCCTGCTGCTTGTCCGCACTGTTAACTAGTTTCAGATACTCCGCAACGTTCCCATCGCGTGATGTTTGCTCAATTTTTATCTGCTCCGTTACCTTTAGAATTTTTTGCTTTAGGCTGTCTGCAGTGAGTTTGACCTTGTGGAAGTCCAGGATGCCATCGGGTACGTCAAAGTTGAGGTTGGTGTCTGACCCCCCTCGGCGTATGTTCAGGGGCAGGCTTAAGGTATTCATGTCATGACGTTCTACCTGAAAGAGACAGGAAAGAAGCATGTTAAAATCTGAAGTCAAAGAGATAATTACTGTGATAGAATCTGTGCACATACGAGATATATATATTAAGTCCCAGATATTCAAACTCCAAGTGTCACAGGATAAAACCCCCTTGCTGTCTCCTCAAGTTGAACATAGGGGCAGCATGGCTCCTTCCTGCATCCATCCATCCACACTAAGTAGCTGTGAGACTCAGATCTCCCAGGCTATCCACTTTCTTGTGTGATGAGACGGTAACTTGGTTCCCAGGGAAGATAATGCAAAATACAATGAGATCACCAGTCAGTCCTGGTCTCCCAAAGTGCCCAGGTAACTAGAATGCCTGCTACGCCCCACTCATTGGGAACTTCACTATAGGGAATGCATCCTACGCAGAACTCACTCACTTAATAGACAGAGAATCTTTTAAAAAGGAAGAAAAATAGGGAAAAAGATATCAGCAGGTACATCCATCAATACAAGAACATTATTTTCTTAACGGAATAATTAAAAAGATGTGACAGAGCCGGGCGCGGTGGCTCAAGCCTGTAATCCCAGCACTTTGGGAGGCCGAGGCGGGTGGATCACGAGGTCAAGAGATCGAGACCATCCTGGTCAACATGGTGAAACCCCGTCTCTACTAAAGATACAAAAAATTAGCTGGGCATGGTGGCACGTGCCTGTAATCCCAGCTACTCAGGAGGCTGAGGCAGGAGAATTGCCTGAACCCAGGAGGCGGAGATTGTGGTGAGCCGAGATCGCGCCATTGCACTCCAGCCTGGGTAACAAGAGCGAAACTCCGTCTCAAAAAAAAAAAAAAAAAAAAAAGATGTGACAGAATAATATGGTACAAGATTAACTTTAACAATTGGGTAAAACAACAGTATTTAGAAATGGAAACAACTCCAAACCATACCACAGTGATTAAAAATAATAAAAATAAATAAATAAAAGAGCCAGGTGTGGTGGCTCACGCCTATAATCCCAGCACTTTGGGAGGCTGAGGCAGGTGGATCACCTGATGTTGGGAGTTTGAGACCAGCTTGACTAACATGGGGAAACACCATCTCTACTAAAAATAGAAAATTAGCTGGGCATGGTGGTTGGTGCCTGTAATCCCAGCTACTCGGGAGGCTAAGGCAGGAGAATCACTTGAACGTGGGAGGCAGAGGTTGCAGTGAGCTGAGATCGCGCACTGTACTGCAGCCTGGGCAACAGAGTGAGACTCTGTCTCAAAAAAATAGGAAAGAAAAAGAATAAAAGAAAAATATGATAAAACTAAGACCACATGGGCCATTTAGAGAAAAGAACTGCAAGGTAGCATTGAGCTCCTGGTGAAGTGGGTGGCAAGTTTGCACTCTGAATGGAAAAGGCAGAAGTAGACCATGTGCCAGGGTCTAAGGATGCCTCTGCATGCTTCACTACCATGCCAGACAAAGGACACGCTAAATTCATTAACATGCAGAAACTGAGGGTTAGGTCAGAAATGGAATCCAAGTCATCCCAACTGTAATCCTCTTTCCATGTCAGTTCACTCTACTGTTGATGCCCCCAAGAAAAACAACTCTTTGCAGAGTTCAAACACAATCTCCAAACAAGTCTTAAGATCTAAACTGAAGCATCTCATTTGTCAAGTTAATATCCCTTTGATTTGAATAATGCCTTGATACAAAGTCTCAATAGAAATCCAATGAGAAGCAAGACAATATTCAGCATGTTACCTTTTTTTAAGTGACTGGTAGGCTGATAGCAAAAAAAAAAAAAAAAAAATAGTAAAAAATCAACAAATCTCACACTGAGTGATATGGTTCGGATCTGTGTCCCTATCCAAATCTCAGGTTCAATTGTAATCCCCAGTGTTGGAGGTGGGGCCTAATGGGAGGTGACTGAATCATGGGGGTGGATTTCTCATGAATGGTTTAGCATCATTCCTCTGCTGCTGTTCTCATAGTACTGAGTCCGCCTGAGATCTGGTTCTTTAAAAGTGTGTAGCACCTCCCCTCCTGCACACACACTCCTGCTTTCACTATGGTAAGTGCCTGCTCCTGCTTTGCCTTCTACCATGAGTAAAAGTTCCCTGCAGCCTCCCCAAAGCAGACAAAGCCAGGCTTTTTAAATTTTTTAATTAAAAAATTAAACTTTCTTTTTTTGAGATGGAGTTTCACTCTTGTGACCCAGGCTGGAGGGCAGTGGCACGATCTCAGCTCACCGCAACTTCCACCTTCTGGGTTCAAACGATTCTCCTGCCTCAGCCTCCCGAGTAGCTGGGATTAAAGGCATGGGCCACCACACCTGGCTAATTTTGTATTTTTAGTAGAGACTAGGTTTCTCTATGTTGGTCAGGCTGGTCTCGAACCCTCAACCTCAGGTGATCCGTCCACCTCAGCCTCCCAAAGTGCTGGAATTACAGGCATGAGCCACCACGCCCAGCTAAACCTCTTTTCTTATAAATTATCCAGTCTCAGGTACTTCTTTATAACAACGTGAGAACAGACTAATACACTGAGTGATCCAGACCCAAATACGGACCATACCCAGCAATGAACATTAACACTTCACCACATAATAAATCCTGCCCCGTGCTTTATTCCAGAGGAGAGAGCACAGCAGCAGAATGGGACACCATCCCAGATGGGCAGGCCAGGCCTCCACAACTTACAAACACTCGTTAGCATTAGCTCTTGGCCCCTCTCTTCCAGTGCACAATTTCGTCATACATGAGTGACACTGGTTGCTTTATCTGGCAAAGGAGCACCACGTAGAAAAAGCTGGAAGGAAGTAAATGCCCCATCACAAGACTAGAAAACAGGATATATGAAAAAAGGATAAAGGAGTTGTGACTTCACCTGGTCAAGAGGGAGGGATGAGGATGAGGAATAAAGATGTATAATAATCTTTAAGTCCTACAGGGTCGACTAGAGCAAGCTCAAGGAATCTATGTACCCGTGGCTCCTTAGTGGACCCAAACAGGAACAGGTTCAAATGACAACAACAAAGAATGCATGAAACTTAGAAAATGTTCATTTTGGGCAAATGGGTAATTAATGGTAAGTGTACAATCACTGAGGCTAGAAATGTGACTTTACAGGAGATATCTGATTATGCTAGTCTACATCTTAGAAACTTCCTTTGGCTTTATAATGCCTGCTGAATAAAATAACATAACCTGGTGTATCATTTCATGTGGCAGGCATTAGGAAGGGCCTTATAGGACTATAAGGCCTGAGCCCACCTTTCAGGCCTCACCCTGCACCTGAAGGACACCTTAAGAATATCTTTAAGTGGGCTGGGCACAGTGCCTCATGCTCATAATCTCAGTACTTTGAGAAGTCGAGGTGGGCAGATCAGGCAGTCAGGAGTTCAAGACCAGCCTGGCCAACATGGCAAAACCCCGTCTCTACTAAAAATAAACAAAAACTAGCTGGGCGTGGTGTCGTGCACCTGTAGTCCCAGCTACCTGGGAGCCTGAGGCAGAAGAAATGCTTTAATCTGGGAGGTGGAGGTTGTGGTGGGGCGAGATCATGCCACTGCACTCCAGCCTGGAGGACACGGCAAGACTCTGTCCCCGCCACCCAAAAAAAATCTTTACGTGAACCATACAACCTAAATTCTCAGAATATATATGAATTTCCTATGGATTTTCTCATATGCATGATGTTCACAATGCCTGCCCATCTACTCATGTTCATTGAAGTCCTACATATTCTTTAAAACACATTTCAAATGCCCCTTCTGCCATGAAGCTCTTCCTAGTCCCAGTGGAACACCTCTCTATTCTCTGACATGCCTGTTGCTCTGTGCTTGTCTTGTGGCACCGCCTGACTCTTCCTTTTATCACCATCTATGCATTTTAACCCCCTGTAGACTGCAAGCTCCTTTTGGGAGGTATGATGTCATTAGCTGCACACAGCTTGAAGTTCTAGAACTTCCCTAGGAGGCTGTCAATAAATGTTTGTCTACTGAACCAAAGTGTCATCATTCTTTATTCCAAGGAGTCTACACTGGAATCATTTAAGACACATTTCTATTGAGCCAAAAAATAACCTGAGAAGTTCTGCTTGCACAGGGCGTGGTGGCTCACACCTGTAATCCCAGCACTTTGAGAGGCCGAGGTGGGCGAATTATGAGATCAAGAGATCGAGCCCATTCTGGCCAACATGATGAAACCATGTGTCTGCTAAAAATACAAAAATTAGCTGGGTGTAGTGGCCTGTGCCTGTAATCTCAGCTACTCGGGAGGCTGAGGCAGAAGAATTGCTTGAACCCGGAAGGTGGAGGTTGCAGTGATCTGATATGGCACCACTGCACTCCAGCCTGGTGACAGAGCAAGTCTCAGTCTCAAAAAAAAAAAAAGAAAGAAAAAAAAAATGTTCTGCTTGCATAGCCCTGACAATTATAGGTGAAGATGGTTTCCCAATACCTAGATAATAAATCCAGTACCATCTGAAATTGATTCAATGAAACAGAGGTTTTTTAATGAGTATCAATGTGCAATAAGATACACAAATACAAATAAGGACTTCTAAACTTTAACTGAAGCACAATTTACGCTTAGAAAAGAGTACATTTAAGAAAGTACAAAGTCAAATAAATACTCAAATTTTTACAAACTGAACACACTGTGAGCAGCAGCCAGTTGAAGAAATCTAACAGAAGTCTCCTTTGTGCCCCACTTCAATCACAACTACATCACTCCCACCGCCAGGGGCGACCCTGATCCTCACTTCAAACAGCATACATTAGTTTTGCCTGTTGTATACATGTATTTTTCTTGTCATTTTTCACTCAGCACTGTTTGTGAGTTTCATACGAACTTGTTTTTGCCCTCCTGAAGCTCACAGATAAGATCAGATTATTTAAAATCTGGTTGGTATCCCCTATTGAGAAGTCCACAACAACATCGAAAGGTAGAAAGGTTTTTATCCTTTACCAAACCGAGCAGTAAGTCAACACCTGTTCTTACTCCCTTAATTCTCAGCTGCCCCAGGGCTGGCCAT